CCTTAGGGTTATTTACCCTAAAGAGCTGGGCTTTGGCTTTAATAAAACCCACTTGGGCTTTCCTCCATATAGAAGGAAATAAACCCAACAAATCTCCCCCTTTCCACTATGTGGAGGTAATCGCCATCCCGGCGATCGAACAACAAACTTCAAGCTTTTCTCTTGGTAGGGTCTTTATCAACATATCAGAACCATTATCATCAGTGTGAACCTTCTCAAGTTCAAGTAACTTATTGTTCAACACATTTCTGATCCAATGGTATCGTACATCAATGTGCTTAGATCTTGCATGAAAACTGGAATTCTTAGCAAAATGAATAGCACTCTGGCTATCACAAAACAACACATACCTCTGCTGCTTGAAACCAAGTTCTCTCAAGAACTTCTTTGCCCATAGCAACTCTTTAGTCGCTTCCTTTGCTGTAATAAACTCTGCCGCTATCGTAGAAAGAGCAAGACACTTTTGAAGTCTCGATTGCCAACCTACAGCCCCACCTGCAAAAGTGATCAAATAACCCGAAGTAGACTTACGAGTATCCACATCCCCTGCCATATCTGCATTTGTGTAGCCAACTAACAATGGTTGTCCGTTTCCCAAACCAAGTCTCAAATGGGAAGTGCCTCGAAGATACCTCATGATCCACTTCACTGCATTCCAATGTTCTCTTCCCGAATTTGACAAGAATCGGCTAACTACACCAACTGCATGGGCTATATCTGGTCTTGTGTAAATCATTGCATACATCAAACTTCCTACTGCTAAGGCGTAAGGAACTCTTTCCATGTCTTCCTTTACCTTATTTATAAAAGGACATTGCTTTGTACTCAGTCTGAAGTGGGTAGCAAGATGAGAGCTAACCACTTTAGTGTTGTCCATATTAAACCTCTGAAGCACTTTTTCAATGTACTCCTCTTGTGACAAATATAACTTCTTGGTACTCTTATCACGACTGATTCTTATGCCAAGAATTTTCTTTGTTGGCCCCAAATCCTTCATAGCAAATGACTTACTCAATTGCTTCTTCAACTGGTTAATCCTTAAAGCATTCCTGCCAACAATCAACATGTTATCCACATAAAGTAGTAGAATAATAAAATCATCATCAGAGAATTTTTTAACAAATACACAGTGATCAGAAGTTGTCTTCTTGTAGCCTTGCTCTTCCATTACAGACTCAAACTTCTTATACCACTGTCTCGGTGCTTGTTTCAAACCATATAGGCTTTTCTTCAGCTTGCACACATAATCCTCTTTCCCTTTCACTTTGAAACCCTCTGGCTGCTTCATATAAATTTCTTCCTCCAAATCACCATGAGGGAAGGCAGTTTTCACATCCATTTGCTCAACTTCCAAGTCAAGACTAGCTGCTAGGCCGAGTGTTATACGGATCGATGACATCTTTACGACTAGAGAGAAGATCTCATTAAAGTCAATACCTTTTCTCTGACTGAACCCTTTGACAACCAATCTAGCTTTGTACCATGGCTGTGAAGAGAAACCATTTGGTTTCTTCCTGTAAATTCACTTGTTTTCCAAAGCTCTTTTTCCTTTAGGTAGCTTCACTAACTCAAAAGTGTGATTATCATGCAATGACTGCATCTCATCTTGCATGGCCTCAACCTACTCTGTCTTGTGTTCATCTTTAATGGCTTCTGCAAAACACTGGGGCTCTCCCCCGTCAATTAATAACACATACTGCTCTGCTGAATACCAAGTGGAAGGACATTGGTCTCTGGGAGACTTCCTGGATGGAATCTCTGGTGGAATTTCTAGCGCTGTCAACTGCTCATCAGTCTCAACATCTTCCTGAACCTGTAGGGGAATATCCACATTACCTGTACACTGGTGGTCATCTTGAACATCATTCCCAACCTGAGATGGCAGATTCTTCAGAGGAGCTGGATCTACATCAGTCAAGATATCACCTTGCTGAGACATAGATTTCCCTGCTTTCTCAATATCCTGAATCGTCTGATCTTCTACAAACACGACATCTCTGCTTCTCACAATTTTCTTCTCAACTGGATCATAAAGCTTGTACCTAAACTCATCTTAGCCATAGCCAAGGAATATACACTGTCGCGTTTTCACATTAAGTTTGGACCTTTCATCTTTTCGAATATGCACAAATGCTTTGCACCCAAAAACACGTAGATGATTATAAGAAACATCCTTACCTGTCCAAACTCGGTCTGGCACATCAAACTGTAGAGGAACACAGGGTGTAAGATTCAATACATGAACAACTGTGCTCAATGCCTCCCCCCAAAAGGATTTTGGCAACTGGGCTTGTGAAAGCAAACATCTTACTCTCTCAACTAGTGTCCTGTTTATCCTTTCTGCTACGCCATTCAACTGAGGAGTTTTTGGAGTTGTCTTTTGATGCTGGATACCCTGCTGTCTACAATACTCATCAAAAGGACCAGAATACTCTCCGCCGTTATCAGTACGAATGCATCTCAGTTTCTTCCCAGTCTGTCTCTCAACTAGGGCTTGGAATTGCTTGAATACTGCTAACACTTGGTCTTTTGAATTCAAAGTGTATACCCACAACTTCCTTGAATGGTCCTCTATGAAGGTCACAAAGTATCTGGAGCCACCAAGTGTTCTCGTCTTCATAGGGCCACACATAATATCCAAAGAGTTAGGAAAATGGCTGATGACTCTAATTCATCATAAACATGTGGATCAATATCAGTTGAAGGATGATCGGCCAAGAAATCAGCCAGAACCCTTCCTTTAACTGATTTTTGTAGGACAAAGATAAGATTGAATTCCATCAAGGCCAATGCCCACTTACCTATTCGGCCAGTGATCAATGGCCTTGATAGCATATATTTAATCACATTAGTTTGACAAAGAATGTAAACATCAATCGGCCATATATATATTCTTAATTCTATGGCTGAATAATACAAAGATAAATAAAGTTTCTCAATTGCAGAATATCTGTATTCAACATCAGTTAATACTCTGCTTAAATAGTAAACAGTATGTTCCTTTCCAAGTTCATTATTCTGATCAAGCATGCTGCCAATTGATTCTTTTGCAGCCGATAAATAAAGCTTCAACGGCCATTTCTTCCTTGGAGGCATCACTACCGGGGGGTTTGCCAAATATTCTTTTATTTTGTCAAAAGCCTTCTGATGGGATTCATCCCAATGAAAATTTTCATATGACTTCAATTTTAATAAAGGGGAAAAAGCATGTACTCGGCCAGCATGGTTAGCAATAAATCTTCTAAGAAAACCTACCTGGTCGAGAAACCTTTGCACCTGTTTTTTGCTGGTTGGAGTGGTAGCATTCATAATAGCTTTGGCCTTGTTCTGATCAATTTCTATGGCTCAGTGGTGTACCAAAAATCCCAAGAAATTCCCGGCTGAGACCCTAAACGCACACTTTAATGGGTTCATTTTCAACTTGTGAACTCTCATCCTTTCAAAAGCCTTTTTCAAGTGTTTCAAATGCTGTTTTTTGGCCGATGATCACAACCACATCATCTATGTAGACTTCCATGAATCGGCCAATTATATCATGAAAGATTGAATTCATTGCCCTTTGATAAGTAGCCCCTGCATTCTTTAGGCCGAATGACATTACAACCCACTCAAAAGTACCAATTAACCCAAGACATCTAAAAGCCGTTTTGGGAATATCCTCCACGGCTATATAGATTTGATTATAACCTGAATGGCCGTCTATAAAAGACATTATTTCATGCTTAGCAGCCGAATCAATAAGTTGATCAGCCACTGGCATTGGATATTCGTCTTTTGGAGTGGCAGCATTTAAATTGCGAAAATCCACACAAATTCTAAGTTTGCTATTTTTCTTTATTACTGAAACAACATTAGATAACCATTCAACATTCCTAACCGTTCGGATAAATCTTGCCTTGAGAAGTCTTTCAATTTCTTCCTTAATTTTAAGCATTACTTTTATGGATACCCTCCTTGGTGGTTGCTTATATGGCTGAAAATCTTTCTTGATGGGTAATCTGTGTTCTACCAACTCTCATGCTAGGCCAAGCATTTCTTCATAACTCCAAGCAAAGCAATCCTTATATTTCTCTAATAATTTGATTAAATCAGCCTAAAAATTAGGCTCAAGCAAAGCATTAACAAATAATGGCCGATAATCTTTTTCAGTACCAACATTAATTTCAAATAAAGGATCTTAAACCTCTATTTTATTATCTTCCATCCTGGAAGGGGCTGACTCCAAATCTTCAAGTTGGATTGCATCAAACTTCTTAACACCTTCTTCAACTATATCGGTCGTATTGGCCGATACTTCCTCACATAATTGTTCTTCTCTGGCTAATCGCTTTTCAGCCAGATATGCTTTCAAGTTTATGCAAGCGGCCCTGAAAACTTACTGCTTCTTTTCTTCTTTAGTTGTGTGATCCATCATAAACGTCTTTAATTTCTTTAATGGTCAACCTGAAAATATCAATTTTCGGCCGAACTATCTCTATCAATAGCTCTTCAATATCAGTATTTACCAGGTTTTTCTTCATTGTTGCTGCTGCTAGTCGACCCATCCTGTTGATGCCTACAAATTTGATAGGTACAATAGTTTCATCATAAAGTGCAGATTCGGCCGAATACACCCTAGCTATAAAGGGTTTATTATCGGCCTCAACAATTTTTACCTCACACTACAACAGTTATGGCTTTCACCAACGCTCCAAAACGTTGGTGAAAGCCTTAAAAAGTGCTGGTGAATTACCAGCGCTTTTGAAAAAGCACTGGTGAAGGGTCTATACCAACGCTTCTTAAAGAAGCGCTGGTATAGGGTCATTTTATTTTTTTCCTCTTTACCAGTGCTTCTTAAAAAAGCGCTGGTAAAGGGTCTTTTTTTTTTTTTGGGAAAAATATCTCTTATCTTTACTACGCTAAATGTCATTTAATATAACACAAATTGGCAATATGAAAATACCATCCAAATTGTTTTTACATAATACAACCACAAGTTAACCTGCTGCCAATATGAAAAATACCATCGAAATTGTCTACTGATAGATAAAGCTGGTAAATGTCAACCAAAACCAAAAAAATGTCAACCAAAAAGCCAAAATGTCTACTAATACAACCATAAGTTAACCTGCCAATATGAAAATACCATCCAAATTGTCTAGATCTACTAAATGTCACACAAAAAGAATTAAGAATTTTTGCCAAATATAGTACAAGTTTTTCAAAAAGAACCCATCCAAGGTGAAGGAAATGCAGAAAGCACAGCCACAACCCCATCTTCAGCTTCAACTTCAACAACTCTTCTTGCCCATTTGATTTGAATTACCCTACATTTTTTATAAATTCATTAAGCGCACATTACAATAAATGAAAATTTAACATATAAGAGAAATTAAATAAATTAAATAAATTCCAGAAAAAAAAAACCTCTGATAGTGACACCTCATTTTCTTAAAAGCAATGCATAACCAAACTTCTCCATAACAATTGAAAGTAACTCCCAGACTCTTCCAGTTATTTCTTACTCAGAATTAATACTGAATATAAAACGAGACCATAAAGAAAAAATAAAAATGAAATAACTCTTACTTACAATTAACTCCGGAAAAAGAATATCATTCTGAGGGCACACCCCCAATCCTTTTCTTGTCTCATCCTGAAGAAATAACAATAATTACAAAATCGAAAAAGAGTCCGTCTAAACAAGATATCAAGCATTAAAAAAAGAGAGATAGATAAATGAATTCGACTATAATATGACGCGACCATCAAAACCAACACCAATAAGATTAGCTTATGCATTCTGCAATTGCTATAATGAGTACAAATGAATGCCATAGAAATGGGGACAATCCATATAAACCATTTTGAAACCTCCACTTGTCAGAAGAAATAAGAAGAAAGATGAGAAAGGAATTTGAATCAACCAATAAAAAGGGAAGAAAAGCATGATCTAGCCAAATATGCCTTAACATATTGATCAAATAATGCTGGATAGATTTATAGTTGAAATGTAACAAATTTACCATACAAGAAGAACCAGAGTCATTTTAACATGGACCAAAAACCAGAGTACTCAACTACTCATATCAATAATGGAGAGCTTCATGACAAATGTCCAACACTACTGCTACCTTATAGACAATCAGTGCTATGCTTGCGTAGCTAATGCATCACTGTGATGAGAAGTTAGAGGTCTGCATTCACATCTTTAGCTTAACAATTAATCAAGCAGGAGCAACCAACTAACTTAATGTAAGAACAAGAAAGGTAAGAAACAGAAACAGAAACAAGGAAAATGCACATAATGCGGGTTGAGAAAAGGGGTGTGGACACATCTTCATTGGAATGCTTATGATTTATTTTGACTTCTGAGCCGGAAGCATCCTTTTTTCCACTAAATTTTTTTTCTCCAAAACCACTTTTGAAATATGAAGTTCCATTTGTGCTGCACTCCATTCTCTTTAGAGAAGACCTAGTCATAGAAAAATTTCTAGTAACTTTCTATCATATACAAAGAACTGTCAAAATAGAAAACTACATACAAAAGTAAATAAAATCTTAAGTGATTTTAAGAAAAGCATAGGATAAAATAATGTCAATTAGTAAGTTATTAGTAGTTGATTGCCTATAATGGATGTTAAATGTCCACACAGAAAATCTTGTCATTGGACAATTCAAAATGATTTCAATGAAAGTATATTTGACCAAAAAAATGAATGCTCACTAAGAGACTTATCAACTTAGTGAATACAATATAGAGTAGATCTATTATGCACGTAACTTAGACAATCGGATACTCAATTAAAAAGTAAACAGCAATTCATGGTCAGTCGACAACCTTCAAAGAAAAACAAAAAGTTTGAATGACATACCTTATCTAGGTAAAGGCCAATTGCGCAATACAATATTGTTTTACGACGAACTTGAATGATCCTGTTAGCTTAGCCAAACCTGATTAATCGAACTATTCATAATCAGATTTTTTCATTTGTAGCCTTATTATACTCCAGCTCCATGATAATGCGACAATCTCCTATGGGAAGTTTAGAAATTTAAGATGAGTCTTAACACCTAAATCCTTCTGTCAACTACTACTACAAGCTTCACGTAATTGATCTGACACTCAATGAATGCGAAATCAATGTAATCACTCAAATAAAATTCAAATACTAATCACTTCCAATTAGTTTTAGGATCAACCTTTGAAATTTGAAATCATGTTATGAACAAAATTATTTCTATATAATTCCAATAGTAATATGTTCAGTTCAAACTTTCCATATATATTTATTGTGGCATCATATTACAGTGTCATCAGCACATCTAGTGACCACAATCTTGTCCAAGCCAGCTGAACAATCCAGTCCACCCCAAAAAGACAAATTGGACAGAATATTCTTCATAATCCAGGTCTACTAGTCTAAGAGGAGCATGTCCACGCCAAATTATCTTGACATCGACACACTTATCAACCTAGATCCCTCCGTAACATTACGTATAAGTCCACCACCCATACCAAGGCCAAGAAAGTAAAAAAGTCCTATAAACATGTCCAAAACCAGGTCCTCATCAACTTAGGACATGTAAAACAGGCTTTATGCCCTTCCTAGCAGAGCAACTTCAAGTGTAAGTATTTGCAGAAGATGCCTTACTTCTATGGCAATATAACAGTTCAGAAAACCCAAAAAGTTATATAACATTCCTTATCCATAAACCAAACTGAAAATTAGAATAACAGAAAACAAAAACAGAATTACAGAAAAAAAAAAAAAAAAAAAAAAAAAAAAAAAAAAAAAAACACTCCACCTTAAACATTGGTCATACAAAAAAAGGTATGCTACTACTAACTCATTTTAACAGCAAGAATGCAAAAATTACCTGCAAAGCGTATGTAATAAACCAAGAAAAATAGAATATCTCATCTTTTAGACCCATCATGTACAGACCCTCTTTTATTTTCTACTCCTGAAGCATTAGAATAAAAAATGAGCTCAGCCTAAAAGTTTTTATAAGCAAGGACTACTCCAATTTTGATATTTCAGAGATGAGAAAGACATCAATGTATGCAAAAATGTACAAAAATAAAAGAGACTAGGAACTTTATGAGTCCATGATTAATAATGTATTACACCCATTACCAAACCTTCTCGAACACAGAATAGCTGATCAGGCGAGAGATTGGATAGAGAAACCCCAGCGGATACCTGCTCACCAATTCCAAGTCAGACAAATTAGCTTGCGCATAAAAAATAATTAATTTAATAAAATTAAAAATAAAATAAAAACTAGAGAGATTATTTGGTGATAGATACAACATGGGCAATAATGAATTTTAAAAAATAAATGACACATACAGCAACCCCCATGGGCAATTCTTCCACAATTAGAAATTTATATATATATATATATATATATATATATATATATAAGTCTAAATCAAAATGTCCAATGAACATAATCATCAACATAACACCAAGATAGAGATTTTTGGACACAATTACAACAAACAAGAACATACCTGAATGAAAAAAAAAAAAGAATCCCTAAGAAATAGAGAAGTGTAGTTGTAATCTGAACCATTGGGACGGCGAACTCGACGAGGCCAAGCTGGACGTCGAATTCCATCAACGGCAACCGGTAATCGATGCCAGCGAGATGAGCAAGGAGATCGTGAACGTTCACAAAGATTATGAGAGCTAAGCCTATGAGTAGAAGAACCAAACCCGAGCCACAGAGAAGAACAATGGTGGCGAACACATATAGGCCGGCGTTCATGTACTTGGACCGGTCTCGAGCCAGCTGGGGTCCGTATATTCGACTCTGTCGGGCCGATGCAAGCTTCACCATTCTGATCAATCAAGACTGGTATGGTATAGGTACGTAGAGAGAGAAAGTGAGGGAAGTGACAGAGAGATTGGAGGCAGAGTTGCTGAGAGAGGGGTGGTTGAGGAGGAGGGGCACGTGTTATCACGATTGAGGAGTTACAGAGAGAGAGGGGGGGCGCAAGTTCAGAGTTGAGACCGAGAATAGAGATGGAGGCGATTGGGGAGTTACAGAGATATAGATAGAGGCGATTGGGGAGTTGCAGAGAGAGAGAGGAGGGGGGGTAAGTTCAGAGTTGAGACCGAGAATAGAGATGGAGATAATTAGGGACGCTAAAGAGAGACTAGGGCTCAGATGAAATTGGTAAAGTTAGAAAAAAAAAGTGAAATAAAATTAGAGTGCCAAATTTTCCCACGCTACATTTAGCACTTACCATGGTTTGTTTAAAAAGCGCTGGTAATTAGTACTCAACACCAACGCCTTTTCATAAGCGCTAGTGAAACCCTAATTTGTTGTAGTGTCATTTTCGCCCTAAAAAAATCAACATTTGATGTAATGTTGATGGGATACACATATTAGGGTGAATCCGATCTCGACCTAAAAGGAGATTGTAGGCTGCAATTGAATCAATGATAAAGAAGGCTGTGAAGGACATTTTGCCACCAATAGTAATTTTCAAAGGAAGAATACCTTTAGTGTTACTAGATCCCCCATTAAAACCACTAATGGCCATATCGGTTGGAACCACATCGTTTATGGTCTTGCCCAATTTCTTCAAAGTAGTTGCTGGAATGACATTTACCACCGAACCATTGTCGACTAACACTTTATTGATTAGCTGACCTTCAACCCAAACCTTAACATACAATGGCCTTGATGAGCACTGAAAAGTGCGTATTTAAATCCCTTAAGTTTAAGCATTCTAGTACATTTATCTATCTTACTTTACCGTTTTAGATTGATTTCGTATTATTTTCATTTTCAGGCACTTATCCCGAAAATAAACTGACTCAGCCAAATAAGAGCTTAATTGAAGCAATTCTGGGATTAAATAAAGAAAGGAGCAAAGTGGAGAAAGAAAGAAGCATATGAAGCCAAAGGTGGGAAGCAGCAAAGTTCGATCGATCCAACTTCAAGGTTCGATCGATCGAACAATGATCGATCTCAGTACTTTAAGATAGATCCAAGCCTTGGCCCAAAAGCATAAAGTCCAAAAGTTCAATCGATCCAACACCACCCTTCTATCGATCGAACACTTTTGTCCTTATTTAAATAATTGATCCTATCCACAGCTGTATCACCCACTAACCACTTTTGTCCTTTTCCCAAAAATATCTCCGAAAATATCTCGGATTTGTCTTTTCCTAAAAAGCTCAACCAGTTGGATCGATCTAGCCTAAGTTTGATGGATCTCAGTTAGTTCGATCGATCCAAGTCCAAGGTTCGATCGATCGAACTTCCTCTAGTACGAAAAAGTTAAATTTTCATCTCATTGAAAGTTGTCCTTTATCCAATCATTAGGGAATATTGTGTGCACGACCACAGCTCATTTTGGGTGCCATTTTGACCTACGTATATAAGGATAATGATTGCTTTTTACAAAGAACAGCCAATATCATTTTCATATCATCTCTTGGAGAGCAAGCATAGAGGAGGAAGCTAGAGACACCATTGGAGTTCTTCATCAACAAGGAGCAGATTTCTTTCATAGAGTTAGCCCTTAAGGGTTGGAGCAACATCCCCATGAGTGGCTAGACATCTTCTTGGGGCTAGAGTTAGCCCCAAGCATGCTTTCTATATCTTAATCTTGTGTATTATTGAGGGATTAGTGTTGTAATTAATGTTTTGACACTTTGATATATATAGATCTTGTTTATTCAATGATTTATGTGGTTTAATGTTTCCAATTGATTATTTCATTCTATCCATGTGTTTATGTATACTAAAATAGATGTTCATGGGTTTGTCTCTAGATTTTATGTTATTGATGCATGTCTATGTGTATTGATGCTATAGATTTGGAGATTGTCAAGACATAGTGCCTAAAAGAATGCTCTTGTGATTTTCTTGATAGTTAATACTTATTCCTTGATGGATTGTGCCTCTCCCCTAGTTTATTTTCATGCTAGTAGTGTAGATGTAGTGTAGTTGTAGTGTAGTGCTAAATGGGAGGACAATCTATGCTTGTTGTTTGATGATCCAAGCTTTTGAATACAAAAAGCATATGTCTCTAACCTTGTGTTGTATTTGGATTGTGAGCTTAATGAAAGGATTAATGACTTGTTTTGATCTATTGTGCCTTTCACATGTTGTTTAGACAATATATGCTTTATTGTTTAGATATATTGTGCCTTTCACATGATGTTTAGACAATACATGCTTAACTAGTCATCCTTACTTGTTGAATCAACCAAACACACACACACTTCAATATTGCAACACACCATTTGCCCTCATTAGTCACTTGTCAACGGTATGGAAATGCATTGCTTGGTGGTGATCTCTAAACCCCAAGATCTTTCTCTCTCTCTTATTTACTCTTAATTGCATTCTTTTGTTATCACTTAGTTTAATTTAGTTGCTCTCTAATCAACCAACCAACCAATTGTTTGATCACTCGACCTACTAGCCCTAATAGCGATTCCACGACCTTGTTCGATCCTCACAATCCCTTGGGACGATCCCTACTCACTCTTGCTATATTTTTAGTGAAGGTAGTAGTGGCTTTTATAAATGTAAAACTCTTGGCCCTCGCCTTAAAACACACACTCTCAAGCTTGACGGTGGTGCGGCAAACACCGGTCAGGCCTCAACTGTTGTGTCATGGCCAAAGGTGGCTTTTCAAAGATGATTTTATCGGCCTCAGTTGGTTGCTCCTAAGAGACCAATCCTACCCCTGCTGATGAACTCTTTGAGTCATTCTTGATTTCTGATGATTTAGTCTCGTCCTTAAGCTCGGCTGACTTAACATCCCTGTTCACCATTGGCTCTGTCCTTACTTCAAACATAGAAGGTAAAACAAATACCATATTACAATTTACCTCATCCAGAAGGGAACCAAAGCGAATTCTGTACTTGGCCGCATGCTTTGGATCTTGATCTGGCTAATCATCTTTTTCCTCGTAAGAGGATGCCTCATTCCCAAAAGATATAGCAACCTCCATGTCTTTAGCCTCCCTTGGTCCATCTTCTTAGCTGGTTGAACCTGGTCGATTTTAACCCCTTTTCTTCTAAGTTTTGCATTCTTCCTTTGCATCCTCATTTTTTGAGTACGTGTAAGAGGCCGCTTAGGAAACTTTAGATGATTCACTCGAGTCCATCTGCCATGATCAACCAAAGGAGGTCTGACCGTTCTTACGTGGTTACTCTTTTTCCTTTTGAACCCATATTTCTGACTGAATTACTAGTTTCCTTTTGAAACTACGATAAGAATGTTGCTCTGGCAGAACTATATCGGCCATAGACCTTTCTGACCGAATGATTCTTACTGCCCTTGGCCCGTTCTCTCTGAATATTGGTCAATTAACTTCTTCAGGATTTTGTCTAGGCTGATGACCCAACCTTTCATGAACACTGCGCTTCCTGGTCAATTGAAAATAGCTTCTCTTATCTTGATTATTCCCACGGCCTTTGCAATTTGGGCAACAGCCATGGTTGATGAGGGTAATTTGAGCCTCCCTCAACTAATTTTTTAAGTCATTCACCCTCTGCTCATCACTGCTGGCTGATGATGAACTATCAAAAACTTTTGATAACCTTTCTTGTTTACCATTACCAGCGGCTTTTTCAAGTGATAGACTGATTACATTGGTATTTACAATATTAGGAAATGGATCACCATCAACCCCCATCACTTCTGGCTTCTTCTCAGAAAATTTCAAAACACCTTCATCAATTGCTTTCGGTAATACATTTCTAAATACATAACAATTGTTAGTAGTATGATTCCATGAATAATGATATTTGCAGAACTCTTTCCCCTTAGAATCAGTGGCTGATGGTATATTATGTCCTTTTGGCAGAACAATTTGTTTGTCGGCCAACAAATGATCAAATATTTGTTTTGTCTGGCCAGATCAAACGTATAAACCTTACCAGTATCGGTCGTGCCCTTCTTGGCCGATGAGGTTGATGGCTGAGTACCACTTGTAGATGCCTTTGGTTTTGTCAAGCCTCACATACATAAGGCTTCTTAATAATAATTTTAGCTAAATTAGCATCAAGATCTTCCTCTTCAACTACATCAGTTGAAAAAACTTCATAATTGAGGTCCCTATAGTACGTACCTTTAGAGGAATTTTTTCGTTCTTTCTCCTCCTTGAGGACCAACTCATGTAGCTTTCTCGGCCAAGTCATACATGTCATGAAATGGGACTCCTTCAAACCTCTTCTAGAGTTCAAAATCAAGGCTGTTCGAAGCTAAACGGATATACTCCTGTTCCGGAAGAGGTACACGATATCTCAATCCTGCCTTCCTGAACCTTGCAATGAATGTCTCGACTGATTCACTAGGCAATTGGCTCAGCCTAGATAAATTGGCCAAAGTTGGTTCTGTCTCTGTACGGTAGAATTAATTGTGAAATAACTCCTCCATCTGTGGCCAATTAAAAACAGAGTTAGGAGGTAAACTTATATACCATGAAAAAGCTGTCCCTATCAAAGAGTTAAGAAAAAGTCTTAATTTTAACCAAGGGCCCACACTGGCCTCTTCATATTGAACTGTGAAGCGGCCAATGTGTTCCACGGTCGATTGATTCCCTTCTCCACTAAAGGTTACAAAGTCAGGGACTTTATATCCTCTAGGGAACTCAACTTAGTCTACCACTTCTGGATATGGAGTTTTATAGATTGGTCGGTCGGCACCTCTAAGTTCCAAACCGTACTCTTGGGTAAGTAAATCAGCTAATTGTCCTCTGTCTAACATGACCTGTGGTGGCTGATTTAATACTGGCAGTACCTGATTAAAAACTGGCGGCTGATTAGCCTCTAGTTGATAGTAATTCGGCCAATCATATGGTTAATTGGCCACATTTTGACCCCGAGCCCTGGCTATGGTTGCATATGATTATACAGTGGGTTTGGGGGTCTCCACATGATCTAATTTCCCCTCGAGTTCAAAGGTACCCGAGGAGGGTTTGGTGGAATTACCTGTGGCTAAGGAGCTACTGCTGGCGGCTGATTAAAACCTAACATAGTAGGCCGTGGATGATTCTCTGCCCAGGTTGGTGGCGTATGAGCCGGCTGACTTGATATTGCACCTGGTTGGAGTATCATTACTGGCGGCCATGGCTGTGATGATTCAACGGCCCTCTCTGGCTGAGTAGGTTGTGATGGATTCAACTGAAGAGCCGATTCCTGATTGTTGGAGCTGCTTGCCTGAGTCAGCTTGTTC